AGGCCCTGCGTGCCTCACAATGAAGAAAATTATCTAGGAACTCAGGCAATAATAGTAACCCTTCAACTGAATAAAATGCAAAGACACTCATAAGTTGCAACCATTCTTTGCCCAATGCAAAAATCTTAGTTAAAGAAAGGGACGGACAAGGATAAGATAACAACAAAAATTTTATTTATTATAAGATCCAAACCTGCTGAATCAAAGTGTCATAAAGGACAATGCGCTTGTTCTTATAGAACCCATACATATAGGCCTGCACGATGTTGAAAACAGTGAATCATTAATGAGATAATAAAACAACTTCTGCAATCAGTGTTAATGTGATTGAAGTTATTGATATTATCAACTTGAAATAGGCTCAGTTTGTTTGCTGTATCTCTCAACGTCTTCCACCATATTGACCAGTTCATCACAATACTATTCCTAGCTTATATAGCAGTCATGAGTCTTTAAAGCAAGAGGATTAAAGTATTCACAATCAGACTATCAGTTCAAATCTTTACATAACTGGTTTTGCAAAGGAAAGATACAATGTTATCCTAAATGATGGAATATGACAAAAATAAAAATATAAAAATTCCAAAGTTTACACTAAAAGGGTGTAAGGAAGAAAAAGGCATATGGAGACTGGAGAATACCAACAGATGCACAATACAAGACTTGAATCCTTACATTGCTATGGCTTGATCTTGTGGATCCATCAACAACAAATAACTTCTTTAAAGGAAAATTGAGGGAGGATGCAAGTTTCTCAATCTTAAGCCTGAGCTCTCCATCTGGAAGCTATTTCTCACGCCAGAGCAAAACAAAAAGTCAAAAATATTAGACTTTGGAAAAAAGGATGCTTGAATGAAACTACGACACACTGATTTTGAAATACTCACAGGGGTAAACTTGTTAAAGAGTGGGGCTATTAGAACAGGGTAAAGTGTCATCATCACTAGAGAAAGTACAAACATAAATGCCCAAAGATAGATAGCCAGATATGGACCTCCTTTCTGCCATCGCAAAAATTAAGATTGAGAAGGATGACATAATAGCATAATGACCAGAGAGTAAATAAGGATGTAAAAACTTGTTGTTAAGTTAAGCTAACAATTGCTTTGGTTATAATAATAAGGACTAGTAATATTCTCCAACAGTGACCAAGTGCTAGAAACGTAATTTTACCTGTACTATCACAATAATAGCAGAAACAATGGGTGGACCAAGTACAATAGCAAGACACATTCCTTTGATAAGGTCCCTAAAGAATAGCCATATTGTTTGCTGAAAAACAGATGAGAAAAAAGTTAGGAACAGCAAGATGATCTTAAAATGGAAAACAGTCCAAAACATACGTAAACAAGAAAAAAAAAAGAGTACAGGGAAAGAGATTTAGTGATTAAGAATACAAACTTTGTTGAAACCATGTCGGGCCTCAATCACGAAAGTTGAATAGAGAGAAAAGGGTAAGTCAGTGATCTGCATAATAAAAATACAAAACAAATGGTCAATGCTATTGATCAGATTATTAGAGGCATACGACAGACAATGACTAGGTGCACTTATTCAAAGTAATAATTGTATTAAAAAATCCAGAAGACAAAAGGAAATATCATGACTTCACCTGTGACCATATCATAACACCAGCTAAAAATGCAAGGGTGTGCAGTATTTCATTCTCCGCATTTAGACCAACTAAAGGCAAGAAATTTCCTGATTTCTGCAGTAAATAACAATTAAAAAATAAGATAGTGAAAATCAACAAAAGGAGTATCCACTAGTTAAACACCAAAGTACTCACCTTCCAAAACCAAGGCAATATGCCGAAGAACAAAATTGCAGAGTCCATCAAGATTGTCACAAACTCATGAACAAAATGGAAGTGGCTGAAATTTAAGAGAGATGCACCACAGATAATGTCAAGACAAGTTGAATGGAAGCTTGATGGTCCCCTAATGATGTTAAGCCTTGTAAATAAACAAAAGAAACAACAAAACCAACCTCTTATCAAGACTATAGGCTCGAGACTTTTCAAATTTCTCTTGGCCGATTACACCTTCCAATGTTTTTGGAAGAGTTGGCAGTTTGAGAGCAGCATGTTGTCGCAGATCCAGATAAGTTTCAAAGAAGTACATTAATATCATGAAACCTGCAAACAATAAAGGGTATGTCAGGGAGAGAAAAAGAGACAGAGAACTATTACAAACTCTAAATTACATAACCATCAGACTACAACAAGCACAATGACTAATGAGCCAATTTCTTTAATATAAATATATGTCAAAAACATGTCTAAAAATCTATTTCATATGCTTTTCACAACAAATGGCTTAATAAACAGAAAAAGCGAAAGCCAAAATGATTGCATTGCAGGGAAAGGCAAGGAAAGAAAACAGATCCAGAGATTGAAGTCTTTTATCTAAAAAATCATTGGACCCCATAACCAGTAAGTTAATTCAGTTCAATGATCATTTCTGGCAACAAGACATGCCTAAAGATTTGGAATTGCCCTTTTAATTCTTGTTCCCCAGGTTTATCAGCAACCAATGGGAAGATAATCAGTAATGAAAGCGATACAAACAAAAAAAGCATGAGAAAACAAGTATAATAAGCACACAATCAATCTAAAAATGAGACACAACCAAGAACTCATTACATAAAACGCCTCGAAACAGTGTAAACTCAAGTACCTACTTCAGATTCTTTAATGAGTGAGCCTTCGCTATCACAATTGTACAGTTACTTGCAAGTTACTTAGTTAACTGATCAACCCGCATCCCCTTCCACCCTTTAGTCTTTAAAAAGTTTTATCTTCTTTCCCAAATATCAATCACTAAGCAGAACAAGTTTACCAATATCTTTTACATAAATTTAACTCATTTCTACATATATATAATCAAATAAAAAAGAAGTCCAAAGATGCTTAAAATCTAACCTCAAAACCTAGAATTTTCAATCACAAGAAATCAAGCAGAAACTTCATTCACATGCGTGGATGCAAACCAAAACTAGAAAAATAATATATTCTAACTAATCTACGGAAATTAAAGAAAAAAAAAAGAAAAAGAAGTGTTTCGTAGTTCATTTCAAGAACCACAGGAGAAACTTATAAATAGGAAAAAACAAAATAAACAAGAAAGGAAAATCCCCATGACAACGTACAGCTTGAACAATAGAAATCCAACTAGAATTATTTCCTTTTAAAGAAAAAACCAATATCGTGAGAAATAGACAAAAAGAAATCATCAAGAAGTTTCAGCAAGAAAAAGCAATAACAAATCTGGAAAGTAAAGAGGTAGATTCAATCTAAAAAGGGAAGAAGAATGATAACGGCGTACAAACAACAGCTTCCATGTACGGGAACGCCATGTCGTATCAATGAAGAATGCTGGGGAGAGAGAGAGAGAGAGAGAGAGAGAGAGAGGGAGGGAGGAGCTGAGGGGTTTAGAGCCAGGGTCTTCAATTTGTTAATGGTTAGACGGGTACGAGTTTTCAAACCGCGTTCGACCCGATTAGGATGATATTTTTTATGTTTCTGATTTTTTTTTAATTTTAACTATTTTTAATTAAAAAAATTTAGATAAAATTTTCCTCAATAATCAAGTTCAGGTGTTAAAAAAAAAATTACATATCATATTGAAAAAAATTATTATACTTTGTGTTTTTTTACAAGAAATGTAACAAATAAAATAACTCAAAAATTAATTATTCAAAAAAAAATTAAATAATATATTTTTATTCAAATCTATTTCATATCAATAGTAACTTTGACATTGAATAATTTTTCAATACATCTTTATCGTTACAAGTCATATTCAATAACAAGTCAGGTTAAATAATTAAAAAAATATAATATACATTAAAAATTTAACAACATATGTTAATTAAAATTTTAGTATGAAATATTACGCGTTAAAGTCAAAGCTTCAATACCAAATGTTACACATTAAGACCAAAGTTTGAACGTCATAGATTACACGTCAAAGTTTCCTTTTTTCTGGTAATCTTACATGTTAAGACATGAATCACATTTTATCAAACTTGAATCACAACAAAATTTAACATCAATAAACACAAGAAATTATTGTTATTTACCATGCTATGCTTTGAGTTTGTGAACGTAAACTAATAAACTCAAGAATATGTTATTATTTTTTGTATCGTATTTTTTGGTATGTAAATCGACGACGATAAGACAAGATGACAAAGAATAGGCAAAGAGACGGTGAAAGTGATAAAATTATAAAGAGCTGAATGATAAGAGAGAAAAATGATAAATAAAACAAACTAATGACAAGAGAGAAAATTTTGAAATATTTAATTTGTCTTTCAATGTATTTTTATCATCTCATAGTTAAAATTGATTAAAAACAAATAATAAATTTTGTATTGAATGTTATTTTTGAAATGAGCTTACAAAAATGACTATTTTTTACAATTTTCTCTTATTTATAAATAAATAAATCATATTAATTTTCCTTTTTTGACAAAAAAAATTCGACTAAGGCTAATTTTGCATTGCATTAACAAATATAATAATAAGGAAGAATCTCAACTCATTTAAAATATTATTTTATATAATTAATAGTACAACAAAAACTTTGAAGATTGTGTATATATTTTGAGCAAGGGATAGGTTGCTTCAATTGTGGTTCAGTTAGCCTCAGGCTTGCTGTTGAGGGCACAGTGTGCTGAAAGTTGAGACATCATTCATTAGGGAATCTTTCTGCTTGATCAGTGCCCATCAAAGATTGGTGGATCATGGCTCATGCCCCGCCGCCTATGCTTATGGGTCCTTACCCAGTCTGATCCTTTTCATGGTAACTTTCATGATCACATCTGCTCCAGCAGACATGCCTTTTAAGAATATAATGGTACTAGCCAACACCCAGGCTTCATTGTCCTTATTTGGAGAAAAAGAAGTAAGCAGGCACAATTATGGAAACAATAAAAAAACAGAGCAAACCTATTAACTGATCCTAGTGTTTGGATTTTCAAGGAGGGGAATAATATTGAACACGACGATCACAGTACACAGTTGACTAGAAAAAGTACATATAGGATTACAGGAAGATATATATCGACTGCCTAAAAGAGGACCAACATGGCAGATTATACAGGTTCCAACCAGGATTCTTTTTACAAAATTTGAGGTGTATGATGCCTACTTCTACGTGTTTTCAGTCTGAATACTATACAGTGGCTGATTTTACTTACATACATCAGATGACCAGATGACAACTTCCAATGAATTAAAAGTTCCACAACATCCAGAATAAGTCTCTTCCACGTTCAGGTGTTAAATTTTGTTGCCCTGAGAAATGATTTTTATCTCAGAAGGAAGATCCATCATCTTAAGTATGAGGAGGAGATGCTTCAGAGGTTTCCTTAGACATGCTCTTCAGCTGTTTTTTCTCTTAAGCCAGAAACCCCGAGTAGGCCTCAGAAGTTGCTTCAGCAATGCCATTTTGGGAACATTCCAGTGCTCCACGTGCCTGGAGAGATTCCATAAAAGCGCTAGATAAGTTAGAGAGATAATCAGAAAACAGTACAGATTGTTCATATCTCCTCGTTACTTGTTACCTGCACACTTTTCCAGATTGTGCATCAAAATAATACTCTGTATAACCAGTAGCTGCAAGATCACGAAATCTTAAAACGTTATAGCAGAATTGTAGATTTATATATGATGTAAAGCCTCCAACATCCGTTACAATTACTAAAGAGAAGGCTTTGCAATCCTCTGCAAAACCAAAATCATTAAAATTTGGCGTTGGGAAAAGAAACATGAAACGAATAGTACCAATCACATACCAGAAAGAATAGGTCTCCAAGGGAATGACATTACACAGCTGAAACGCCAGTGTCCCACTCCCTTGTTCTGCGCTTCCATAGACGACAAACATAAAGAAAAGTTCATCATTGTTGAATTACATTGAAGATGGTAACAAGTAATAAGACAAGTTGTGCAAATATATTGAAACAGGAATTTCCCTGTTTATGATTTAGAGCCAATTCACCTCAAAGTCCTCCCACTTCATAAGCTTCATACTTGACTTTTCAATAAGAGACCCAAAGTTTGTGCAGTTCCTTTTGAAACGTCGAAGCCCTTTGAAGGAACCCGCTGGATCAGCAAATTCACAATCCTCTTCGTATGCATCAAGTGTAAGTTGCCCTGATTTCAACAAAAAGATATTACTACTTCCTCCCTAGGTAATAGATGAAGAACATCAGTTTACAGACAAAGGAAAAAAGATAAGTATGAGAGCTGGCATCACCAAGATACATGTAGTTCACTGAAAAAAAGAGAAGAATGAAGATTTTGAGCGGGTTCGAGTTTTGATTTTTGTGTACCAGTGACAAAGTATGATCTTTCAAAGTCATTTTTTATGGTTTGAACGACTGCTGTACGATCAATAGCTCCTGACCCATCTATGCCAAGCTTGAGATCGTTCTTGGCAGCTTCTTCAACATTCGAAGGTGGTCGGAGAAAGGAAGCAGCAATCCCCAAAAGCTCGGAGCCATACCAGGCTACCTTGAGAAGAGCATTTTCGGGTGCAGATTCTTGTCTGGTGGGCAAATCGCTCCTTGGGTTCCCTCCATTGCATCTAATTCTGCATTGTTTGTGGCCATAATTTCGCCGGAAAATGATGCACTGACGCTGTGACTTGACGTGGGGAGTGACGGAAACAAAGGAAAGAGTGGCCACCATTTTTTGGTTGAGTAGAAGAGAGTGCTGTTGCTGGCTGCAAGATGGACGTTTCTCCCGCGGTTTCTTTTAAATATCTTTAGTCCCCTCAGTGAACCATGGCCACAGAAAAATTTCTTGACAAAACTCTGTTTCTATTGTCCAATTGTCCAAAACCAAAAACTGGAAACGGAAATGAAAAGGTAATTACGACTGCGAGCAGAATGACTTTCGGTTCAAACCGCACAAGGCAATGGATCCAGGCCTTGCGCGCTTGGGTTCCATATTTAGGCTTAGCTCCACGGACTGGTCATTGGTCATGTTGGTACATACACAAAGCCCACCTGAGGAATCTTCTTTTCTTGGCTATTCAACTATTGAGACTGGGCCGGAAATTATCTACCACTCTAATCTCTTAAGTTTCCGGCGAGGAACCCCCTGAAGATGGTAAAAGTGGAAAAACTTGAAAATCAGGCACTACATTCTAAGACAAGACTTGTCCAGGCTTGTACACATTGGCAAGACAACAAATTACATGACACAAATGCAAAACAAGTCCCCAGCACTGGTTAGTGATGGACTGATGGTGCTTGTCTCAAAATTTACTGAACTTGAGCACAATTGAAAAATGTAAAAAGAAAAAGGGGAAAACCACTCATGGCTCATCCATATCGTTCAACCAATCCCGATCCCGATCCCTATCCCGTGTCTCCCTATTCCTTTGTTTGGTGGCATCATTTGCTTGTGTTACTCAACTTTGCGCATTGAGAAGCATAATTTTAATGTAAATTGATACATAATTTGTATTGGATCAGGAACAGCAGCTTGGGCATGGCTCAGCATATCATCTCAATAGCAGCAGGTAGAATACACAACTTCCTAGGAAGAAATCCTAAATGTTCCCCATCAGACTGAATGAAAATGCTGCCACTGCCTGAAATTTCCTCCACTTCAATTGTATATACGCTGCAACGAAGAAAAAACCTTCAATGGTAAGCATGCAATGTTGTGTACCATCACTTAACACTTGTCGGCTAAAAACTACAAGACATCAAGCTCCAGTTCAAATTGACTAGATGACATATAATCCTGCTTTTCAACATAACATATGTAAATAAAACATAATGTATGGCTGCAGGAAGCTTTAAACGCCCTACAAAGGCTCAAGGATAACAACGTTTTTCAACCATCAATGTCTTGGGCTTCTTCACTCTCATCATATTCAAAACACCATTAAGACCTCGATATAATATTAATTTTTTTGTAACTCCAAAAACTTTGACTGGGAAAGCATCTGGTCAGAGCGGTGCTTGATAGTTTAGGAGCAAAATAAATCCAACATGAAAAAGAATGTTAGAGACCATTCATCATTAACAGTTGACTCACTTGAAACAGGAAGCCACCTTAATCAGGATAGAAGATAAAACACCAACAAAAGGAAAGGAGATGCAGAATGGATGCTAAAATAATGCAGAAAGAAGTGCTTACCTTCTTGAGGTTACATTATTCACTGACAAATGTGTTCCATTGTATAGCTTGTGCAGTTTGAGAATGAAGTCATACCACTTGAAATCCTGAAGAATCACAAGCTGCAAAGTATAAAAGCAAAACTTAAACAAACTGTCTTAGCACTTCGGAATCAACACAAACTAGAAATCACATAGTGAGGATAACAGAAAAATTATTCCACCTCAAAGCTCCCACTGTGAGGATCAGCATTTGGTGTAATTTTCATGCCACCGCCAAAGTACTTTGCATTTCCAATACAGAGGGCTGTCACTTGAGAATATGTTTGCCACTTACCCTCATTCACCTGGAAATGAAATTATTTATGAAGTCAAAACTCATAATGCTATCATGAGAAATGAGCATGATATGGGCTACAGCATACCCCAATGGATCAGAAAATACAAAACTTTCAGAAGTGGAACTGTTATGTTACAGATCCCTAAACATGCTGACCTTGATTCTAAGGTCCTGGTTACTGTGCCCAATAAAGGCTCGCAAAGCACCAATAACATAGCATAAGTTTCCAAATTTCTTGTACCCTG